TCTCAATGTAGCGAACACGATTCTTCATACATTCCAGTTTTCATCTACTATTATTCTTTTTTATCATTCCCTTTCTACTATACCTATTCATTATTGATTCATTTATTTTATTAATATCGTTGCTCGAGAAGGCCTGAGCCGTCCTAAAGGCCAGGGCTCTTAACATCAGTGCTTCTTAGTGAGTAGTAGGCAAACGGTAAATACATAATGAATAAAGGTCCTAGTGTTCAGAGTACGGCGAGTCCGAGAATCCGCCACCGGAAGAAAATCCTTGCAATCTCGTCGACTGCATACCTAATACTCGTTGCATAGTCGAGAATGGAGTGGCAAAATGCCTCGAACTTGGCGAATTCTTAGGTGAAATTTGTAGGGAAGGAGAAGGTCTTCGTCGCTTCAAAAACCAGTACTAACTTCGCCCATTGTCCGTTTCCCTAACACCGCGCTTAACCTCTCTCAGCTGCATGTCTTTATCTTTTTGCATTTTTTGTTGTTGTTTTAAATTTTGTGCCTTTACTTTTCCTCTTACTTTTCACAAAACTCCTTCGTTCTCTCATTTTAGATCCCGACAGGAATGACCTCCGGAAGCCGAATCCTGACTGTTCTGTTTTGCTTTGTAGTCCACCAAGCACGTGAGCTGAACACCTTTCTATAATTCCACTAGGCAGACTAGATGCATGATCGAAGAAGGAAGGGTTAAGATTCATCGTTTGATATTGTCATCGTTAGGAAATGAAGCAATAAACAACTTTGAGGCAGAAATCAAACTTTCCAATGTCGAAGGTCTCAATTTTAATTTAAGTCGAGATTTAGTACATATTTGGGCTATTATCGTTGAACCTTGAAGCTGGAAGGGTTTGTAAGTAGCATTAGAAATGTTGAAGCCTTTTGAATATTCAAAATTGAGGGGGGATGAGTCGTAATGAAGCCTGTCCCACTTGCTCACTAAGTATCCAAATCCGTTTATTGGGCTCTCATTCGTGCCAAATGACCTCTATTCTTCCAGGACAAGAAAGCTTCGTACCTCGTAATAAAAGACGGTGCAATACCTATAGGTGAAGTTGGAAGTCTTTCTGTAAGCCAGATTGTATTCAAATGCTACTACGACTTTGAATGGAAGTAAGGAGCTTGGCAAAAAAGGATTTATCTAACGATAAGCGAGCAAAGTGAATAATAACCATTTTATATAGAAAAGACGAAGGTGCTTTCGATGGTCCTCTTACCTACCTCGTCTTGAGTGTTTTTGCACTAGCAAACCCTCTTCAGGAATAGAAAGTATAATTATAATATACCATATGGCGCATGTAATGAATGCAAGCTTTTTATTCCATTAAAGATCCTCGAGTGACATTACTCTCACCCTGCCATAAAGCTTACCTAGTAAAACAGATGTGCCAGTGAGGCCTGGTAACAGAAGAAACAGCTAATGTCAAGCGTTTGCACGAAAAGTCCTGTGTCCTTAGTTCAGCTCTATGAACTTTTTGCGCCTTCGTCGATCTTCGCTCCACATTCACTCCTCATATTTTATGGTGCTTTTCACCATATCGCAAAGGATAGACTTCGCAGACACGAAGATAATCTATCCCTACTATATATAATGCGCTATGTCTGTCTGTCCGTCTGTCACGAAATTCGGTATCAAGCGAACAACAACCTACAGGGTCCAGGTCAAGTTTGGGATGGGTATACCATATCCCTAGAAGTAAAAAACACACATCAGCCAAGCGGAGCCCCGCCCACAGTGGGCGTGGCGTGCATCGGTTGATTTCAAATTCAGTCACAAAACAGCCTCGAGACCGGGACAAAAGTGGGCATAGGTGTGGGTTGGTAAGCCAGATCGAACTGAGGAGACCCACCCTCGGTGGGCGGGGCGTTCTCTAGAAAATGGGTGCTCAGTGAAAATATTCATAACTCGGTTAAGAGGAAGCCTACAGACCAGAAACGAAATTAGTGCAGGGGAGCAATGCCTAAGGTATTTCCACCACGCATGATGTGAACGGAGGCCCGCCCACAATGGGCGGAGCGTGTCGTGAAGCGGACAGCATTTTCTACAAGAGCTCATAAATCGGCTCCGAGATGACTTAGAGACCGGAAAACAACGGATAGAGGTCAGGAGGGGAGGGGAAGCTAAATGTCAGGGATGGGCGTGGCTTACATCAAAGTGGGCGGAGTTTGCAATTAGGCTTATAACTCGGTTCCTAGGAGTCCCGGAGTCCGGGAAAAAAGCGTATGAGGGTTGGCAGAGGGAAAGGGGTCAACCGTTGTTGGCGGGCGGAGCATGCACCAAAGTGGGCGGGGTTTGCCACGGTACTTCATAACTCGGTTCCAATAAGTTCCAGAGATGGGAGAAAAGTAGAAAAAGGTTGGGGAAGAGATGATAGCCGACTGATATCAGTGGGCGACCCACGCACCAAAGTGGGCGGGGTTTGCCACAAAGATACGTAGCTCGATTTCGTCCCCTACAAGACCTCATAATTCTGCTCCGAGATGACTTAGAGACCTGAAAAAAAAATACGCCAGAGGTGAAAGTAGGAGTAGAGGTTGAATGTGAACGCTGGGCGTGGCACACCCGGATGTGGGCGGAGTTTGCCACCGCTCTCATAACTCGGTTCCTAGAAGTTCCGGCGACCGGGGAAAATGTGCATAAGTATTGAGGTATGGAGTAGGGTTGAATGCCATTGTTGGGCTAACCATGCACCAAAGTGGGCGGGGTCTGCCTCAGAAATTCGTGACTCATAACGCCATTTACAAGACCTCATAATTCGGCTCCGAGATGACTTAGAGACCTGAAAAAAATATGCCTGAGGTGAAAGTAGGAGTAGAGGTTGAATGTGAACGCTGGGCGTGGCACACCCGGATGTGGGCGGAGTTTGCCACCGCTCTCATAACTCGGTTCCTAGAAGTTCCGGCGACCGGGGAAAATGTGCATAAGTATTGAGGTATGGAGTAGGGTTGAATGCCATTGTTGGGCTAACCATGCACCAAAGTGGGCGGGGTCTGCCTCAGAAATTCGTGACTCATAACGCCATTTACAAGACCTCATAATTCGGCTCCGAGATGACTTAGAGACCTGAAAAAAATATGCCTGAGGTGAAAGTAGGAGTAGAGGTTGAATGTGAACGCTGGGCGTGGCACACCCGGATGTGGGCGGAGTTTGCGGCGTAAGTAAGATGTACCGAGCAGAAAGCTAAAATCAAGACAAAAATACTGATGGGCCCGATTTTACCGCTGCAGCCCCGTCTCATGCACGCGAATGCGTGCGCAGCCAAACTGGTAAAATAAGAGTAATACACTTGTTAGCCATAAAGTAAGAAAGCAAACACTGAGGATCTACCCTCCTTCCACTCTACGAGGTGTTTTATTCGAGCTATTCAATTATTCTTACGTTATCACTAGATTCATGCTTTCTTTCCTAACAAAAACAGTAGCGTCCAGAACCCTTCCAGCCACGTCTGCGATCATGCATGTAGCTCGTCAGGCAAAATATCTCGCATTTGCACGGCCTCAGCATGCCATGGAAGACTGCAGATGATTTCAATTGCACATCTTTCAGTTGTATCTATCGACCGAAGGATCCGTCATGTGTTGCATGTGCTGTGAGGGGAAGCGGCTTGTGTTGCTCCAGAGAAAAAGGCTTCGTGTTCTGATGCACGTTTCCCTCTCATTTGCACAACTATTCTTTCAAATGCATCACTGAGTACACTGAACAACCAAACGTGCTCCTATTGAATTGGTTTCATGCATGCCACTACTCTGTTGATCCTTAGTTTTTTTCCTTGCGAATGGGCTCTGAACGCACCGCACCGCGTCACAAGTTGAGAACCTTCCCATCCTGCGGTACAGATCATAACTTGTTCGGTCGATGGCTTACGGTTGGGCAAATCTTCAATGAATCTTACCGTCAATCGTGTAAAACTTGGGGGCCACTCCACTGTGTTCCAACCAACTTGGGGGCCACTCCACTGCGTTCCCCAATACTTAGGATGAGAATAAGAACGCTAGTGACACGTAATTTTTCATTTGAAGTGTACTTTTGATAAGTGCCGCTGTGGACTAGGACCCAACTGCTTACACTCGACCTGCAATGCTTCCAAGGAAAGTACTGAATCAGGAGAACAGAGAGCTTTGTTCCGGCCTAATGGTAGATGAGCTTCAGGGTGGATGACCCGGTGCAGACAATTGAGTAGGATGGGAGTAGGAGGTCTGGAGTGTAGAACATCCACCGGTCCTCATCAAAGGTGCACTTCAAATAAGTTGTTCACATATTATCCCATCCGAAGGAGTGTTCTCTCAGACAAAGAACAAAATAGCGAGGAGTGCTCTCCCGGACAGGATTTTCAGCCCCGAATCCTTCAACTAAATGGATCTTCATATCGCAATACATCGTAATGTGTGGAGGGTTTAGGTCTACACGAAGATACAGTCTACAAATGGACTTGTAATCTCAAGGTTACGGTTGCGCTCAGCCACTCCTTAGCTCCCATATGTGGTCACCTGTAAAAACTTCGGAGATGTGTTAACTATTCCGGATGCTACCAAGTTTAGTAAGGAATCCATCCACCTTCTTTGAACAGGTTTTCCTCTGCGTATTCACGCAAGAAGTAAGACCTTCCATAGGCTCTCTTAGAAGAATAACCCTGCTGCGCAATATTAGCGGATAGCCCTGCCAGCGTAGTCGATGACCATATACGCTTGATAAATTGGGTATTCCACAGTATTCCGCCCAGATCCGAAGACTTCCATCCTTCTAGAGCAGCTGAATAGGTTTGGCAAGCCGTTCGAGAAAATCACCTTTTGCATTATCTGGCTCCCGCAAGTCATTCTGTAGACCAGATCGCTTATAACACGCCAAATTCTGGTAAAGGAATGCGCGGCGCATGCCAAGGGCTGTTGACAACTACACTTCAACCTTTCTTTTTATTGCCAACATGTGTAGTCCTACTCTGTACCCTTATAAAAAGGTTTAAAAAGGGCTTGATTATGGTTTTTCCTGTTTTTCAGAAACCACAAGTGCCCCCAATAATACGACCTGTCCTGCAAACGAAGAGTTCAAAGAGTGTGGCACGGCATGCGAACCGTCATGTCGCAATCCCAAGCCGGTAGGTTACGTCACAAATCTTCGATAAATTGAAAAATGCATTGTTACGCTCATCTCTTGATAAATCAAATGCTTCAGGAAATCTGCACTGAACAATGCGTCCGAGGATGTCAATGTAAATCGGGATTCTATCGTAACGATGAAAATGTCTGCGTGTCTAACTGCTCTGGTAAGTGCCCACATTTACTCTCAAAATCAGTGGGAGTTTAGAGAAATTGTATGCCTATACTGATTAATCATGCGTATCCGTGCCCTGTACACACAATGTCGTCTGGGGGGTGGCCTCTCGAATGGTCTTACAAGGGAAGGATACCAGGTCGAAGTGGCCATTTGTAACGAGACATACACCACTAGATGTGTTTTTGGACGCTTATCTCAAATCTGCTCTCCAAATCTGCGAAACGACTCTTTGAACGTAGTTATGAAGCGAGATAGTGCAGTGGCAGCGGTGCGGCTCAACGAACGAGAGGTCGTGAGTTCGAGTTCTTGGCGAGTTCCCACTTTTGCTTTTCTTGTGAACGTTGTTTAAGGAACTCTTATCCATGCTAAGTTATCAGCGATTGCCTATAGCACAAGTAAACAGAGCTGGCGAAGAGCTTCGAGCACTGTGCGCGTCATTTGCAAGTGACCGCCTCTGACACCCGTAGCGCACGCGTAAGGCAATTTCGTGCCAAGCAGATGCGATATTCGTGTTCAGCGCGTCGAAACACCCCTTTCAACAACATTTGGTCCAAATCTAAAATTTTGACTGAAGTCGAAAATGTGGGCAGTCATCTATCCATCAACCACTGTCAGAGCCTGATCGTGGGATTGAATTAAACTTTCAGTCATTATTGTGAAAGAGATATAGTTGCCTGCTCTACTTGCTCGTGCCATCCGAAGATTAATATGATATTTTTTCATGTACACGCTCGCTGCCCAGGAGGAGCAGGAGGGTAGTGGCTGGGGCTAGGGATAACACCTCGACTCATTGTAGACCGAGTTTCGAAATTGGGTCCAAATGTCAGCTTTCTAGAATTAAGCCTTCAAAGATAGTTTGGTCCGTTGAGCAAGCATCTCCCATTTGTTTAGCCCATCGTCGGATATACGTCACTTCCGTGGCGTAGAAACACCCCGGCAGTGGGTCGAAACATTACGAAAAAAGTGGAATGCGTTAAACAAACCCCTCTAAACATGCGTTAGCTTTGGATGCAGTGAAAATTTCAACACTGAATAATTTTTTATATTTAAATTAGACCTAATTACAAAAAGCAAAAAAACCATGCCCAGCAAGATCCCATCCATGGTCTCACCACTGATAAGCCGCCAACACTACCACTCGGCCAAGCCGCCGCTGGAAGCCGAGCTCTGCCGGGTCTCTTACAGTGGGCTTTCATTCGAAACAACCTCCGTAACACTTTTCAGAGAATCGTTTCGCAAATTTGGAGAGTGGATTCGAGATCAGCGTCCGAAAACACATCTCTGAGTATAGGTTTCATTAGGGATGGCCACTTCGACTTGGTATCCTTCCCTTGTTAGTCGAAGAGAGGTAGCCGCTTGACCGATGTGAAGCTTGAGCAAATTGTAAAATTCTATTGTATCAATTTATGAATATGCATCAGTATTCGATGGCGGAAGTCGTAGTGGCTTAAGCGTGTCTGTTCCATTACCACGTGGTGGGGGATTGAATCCTGGGTCGTGAGTCACCCGGGCCAACCAAGCCTTCCATCCCTCCGGGGTCGGTTAATTGGTACCAGACTTCTCTGGAGGAGGAAAAACACTGACTTGTACATCGGCTGGCCCCGCAAGTCATTGTATAGGCCACATCGCATTCAAACGCCACTACGAATGTACAAATGTAAGTGAAATGAGTGCTGCATCCATCAAGGTTTGGTCAACGGCAAATGCTTCATCCTTCAACATTTTTTATCAATATTCGTGCAGGTACCCTTTTTGATATGAGGAGGCCTCACTTTGACAGGAGGAGGTGGCTGTGGTGTGAACGAGGAGCGAAAACAGTGTGGCACCGCTTGCGAACCAACTTGCTCACAACCTAATCCAACCGTTTGTTTTGCACATTCAGTTGTCCCGTTTACTACTCGTTGCCTTTTGCCACATTATTTGTTTTTGCTTATACTACCCAGATAGTTCTAATAATCCTTTTCTCACTGAGCATTTAGTGACTAAAGCCAAAAAAGCAATTAAACAATGCATCATAAAGTTTGTCAATGCAACGGCTCTATATCCGCGATTCGAAGAATGTCTGTGTTCCAGTGGCCAGTTGCCCCACAGGTGCGTTATCGAGTCCTATAAGCACGTGCGGATTATTCTTTGTCGGGGCATTTGAGGTGCTTGAAAACGCGGCTAAACTTCTTAGCACACGCAGGGCCTTTTCCAACCAAGGTCCTGTATTACTTTTCACATTTCCAATAAACAACAATAGTTTGTTGAGGGGCGATGTCTGTACTTGGGCGTGACCTCTTTAAAGCAACAGTCCCAGCAGGGTGGGCGTGGTCGGAAACCGCTGCAATTCCCTCGGTTGATTCCCACTTCGGAGCTGTTCAGCCCCTAGTCAAGAAGGTAGGAAGTGTCACGAAACAAAAAAAAGTGAATAAACAAAAACTCACCTTGGAAAGCCGCTAGGCAGGGAGCTGAAGTGGGCGTGGTCGGAATTGGCCGAGGAATTGCAGGCGTTTCCAACCACGCCCACCCTGCTGGGACTGTTGCTCTAAACGTGTGCCGTGTGGACGACTTTCCAGGCACTAATATATGTTTGTTGTGTCTCGCGCGAATTATTCAATACCTCATGCCATCCGCGAAGCGCTTCCATCTAGCGTTCGATCGTCCTAAAACCCAGTTGACGCTCTTATTTCCTGGGTGATCACCGACAACTTACAGTATTTTTCTCCAATTTAATGAAGATATTGCGAAGCGTCTAGAATACAAGACGTTCAATTGTGGAAATGGACCTGCAACCACAGCCATTAGAAAGGGAAATGACCTTTTTTGTCATCCTTTCTTTTCAATACAGTTCCCCATCCGTGGAGAAAAGTTCGTGAAATTTGAAAATAAATTATCTGCCCACACAGATGTGAGAACAATAGGTCCGATTCGGAATCATGAGTCTGAAAAGTAGATGTCCCATTTGCTTATTGCTACACTCTTCATATACTGCCCCAAAAGAAACTAATGGTCTGTGAAGCTATAAGTCCACTCTAGGCCTCAGCAGTACCAATTTTTGCTACTGACTAGGAGCTGCACATCATAAAAAAATTAACTTGGGCTTGTTAACCCATTGCTAGAAGAGTATCATTCGCACGTGCTCGAAGTCCCTTTGTTGCAAGCCTTTGCATGACAGCATTTCAGATCCAGTCAGACCGTGCTCGGAGTTAAACTGCCCCAGGGGAACTCGCTGTGAATTGGGCCGAGTGATTTGTCCATTTGTGCCGCCGTGCTTTACTCAACAAACTCGGTGCGTGCCTGCTGGGCCAGATTCTTATCGAACATCACCAGCAGGTCCCCGTTGTTTTGCACATTGTCGAACACCGCTTGTTATAGCCTTAGCATGCACTTCACCGTAACCTTTCAGGGCCAACATTGCCGTTATGTTCTCAGTTTAATTGTACTCG